CATTGCTTTACGGCGAGATGTAAGTTCATTAATTGTTTGCCAAGTTTTCTTAGAGTTGTCCTCAAATTACATAAAAGCTTTCGAAAAATAAGATGCCTTAGCAGTTTTGATCCTATTATTTATTGAGTTTCGCAGCTTTTTATATTTTGCCCAATCGCATGGATCATTTGACTTAACAGCTTTTCTCTTGGCAACGTCACGATCGCGCATACCTTTCTTCAAGTTTGAGTTGATCCAGGGTGCCTTATGTGATCTTATACGTTTAGTTCTAAATGTATAAGATCATATAAGGCACCCTTACGAATTATTTAGGAATTAATCCCTGCTGTTGCAAAAGTGCTATCTCAACTGAAGTGTGTAAATATCGCTGCAGGATTAATTCGAGTGTACAGAAGTCTTAATTTCCGTCGTTTTAATTAATATACCATCTTTGTAGCAGCAGATGTTTCCTGTTCTCATTGACTGTTGGTCTAACTTTGTTATCAATTTAGGTTTGACTTCAACTGTGTTTGTTACAGTTATGATATGTAAATAAGACGTTTTGCTGTAATTTTTCCAACGCAATTCGGTCAGTGAAAAATAGTTTTAACAAGATCATAACACATAATGTTCCGAATCAGAAGTCGAGATATGCAATCTAGATTGAAGGTGGCGACAGTTGGCGGTAAAATTCCCTTCACTTGTCATTTCATTAACAAAAGTGTCTGAAAAACGCCTGCACACCCAAAACACGCCTGTAGCCACCTCTTAAACCGAATTAAAAATATAAACATGAACGCTCTTAAACAAAAGTGTTTTCGATCTCTGGTATCTCGTATTTTGTTTCATTTTCGGTGGGCGCGAACGGGCGTGGTCAGGTGTTATTACGCCCACGTAAACGTCACCCTGAGGGCTTGTATTCCAGTGATCAGTATTAAATAGATTGCCGGCTGTGGTTTATGCGTTCATCTAAAGTGGAAGCTTCCTTTTACATTATCTGTTTGTCTAGGAAACGTAAACAAGCAAGCAAAGGAAGTAAAAACTACAGGGGAAAATTAAAAAGGTAAGATATCCGATAAGGTAGAGAGAGGAATCCACATTCCCGACTCTCTGTTTTCTTAGCAATAAATTAAAAAAGTCGGGTTATCTCGCAGTTTCCTTAGCAGCCGTTTTTGAGGTTGCCTCGATAATAAATAGATTCTTGATGCACGATGTGACAACAACAAGCCGGTTCTGTAAAACAGTGTAGAGTTAGGTGTTTAAACAACTAACGCAAACTTAAAACTCTTTTTACGTTAATCCCTTAAGCATATACACTCTTCCTGTTAGGTCAATAAGCATTCGTATTCCTTTTTTCTCTATGAGATAAGTGCGTTATTCCACAAGCAAACGACTATATGTTATAGTAGCATCATTTCACTCATTTAGTCGTGTATACTTTCTAGAGGAGGCACTTAATTGCTGGACATATATAGCACTGATAAAAGTTAACGTCATTCAGAAGCTTGGTCACCGTTAGATTTGTTATTAAAGCACTTCTTTGTGAGGAATTTTGTTTTCTCAAATTACCGACTCACAAAGCTTCGTCGTAGGGAACTTCTTGTCTTTCAAGTCGTCAATGTTGATACATTCAGTTTCAGCAACAAATTAACTGAAGCGGAAGATTATCTTCGTGACCAAACTAGTTTCTGTCCGGCCTTGCAAAGCAGACATCTGCAGCAATCTATGAGTTATCTCTGAGTGCAGTGATCAAAGTCGACGATGCTCGTAGATTCAGTAATACAAGACTACCGGAGCTATTGTTAGTCAATCATCTGATACTGTTCGATGATAAGAAGTACAACAGACGAAAAAAAATTCGCTTCAAGCAGACATAACTTGATATGTCAGGTGAAGTAAAGGAAGTATCGCTGAATTGGTTGGGGGGTATCACACAGTTGATAACAATTGAATTTGACCTGTTTTGTCGGTTGTTGTCTTTTGCGTTTCTCTTGATACTCCAGTTCAAAGTGGAATATAGTCTAAAATAAGCACGGTAATGTTCAGTGCATCGATGATCATAGATAACTAAAGATCAAAATTATTTTTTCTTCAGTTTGTATTAGGTTACAGTTCTACAAGTCCTCCTAAATCAGCTGTTTTCATCTGTGACTACCATCTTTAGACCCGATTCATAGCAAGTTAATCCGTTTAGTTAAAACAAATTGAAAGACCTGATTGTTTTGCGTTTGGTATAGTCTAATTCATGGTTTTACTTTTGGAACTTTCGTGCGAATATTACCAATAATTTTTTTTTTCATCTAGAGGTAAACAATCAACTGTTATGATAATAAAGGTTATCTGGTCATCTCGTAATTATATTGAAATGTTAATTTCAAAAACTTTCTACAGTGCGGAATGCATCACTAAGTGATATTGAAAAGTGCAAGTGGTAAAATGAACTAAGATCAAAATGTCAAAACTTTGGTACATCAAATAATATCTCAAGAGTTAACGTCCTTTGCGTGAGACTCATATCCGAAAGACTATTGCACATTTCCTTTAACAGGAAATTAGATCTGATCAAACAAATATTAAAAGAGTGTCCGAGAATTTGTGAGATGTTAAAAAGTCATGTAACTTTTAAATATTAAAATATTTTGAAACGCGTCGTATGGCATTATGTTAATAACGAGGAAAGTATATTTAATTCACTAATTGATGCTGTCATTTTGTCATAGAGCTGGAATAACTTTCAACCGTTAACATTGCATAAAAATGTGTGGTTTAAAACACAAGTTTAACTTCTTTCGTTACTGACCATAATTTATAAAAATTTGGTTGGTATTCTTAATGGAACGAGATCACATAAATACTCAGTTTTACTTCGTCGATGTAGAGTCCAACCATTTTTCTGTAAACTTTGATATTTTATCCAACTGACGGGAATTTTTTTTTTTTTTTCATGTGCTGATATATTTTTCTTTTTGGATCTTCCTTTCCAGACGCGTCTGTTGTCCACCCTTGGATATAAAAATGTGGGCTTCACCGCTACCGTTGTGTTGTATGTTGCTACTTTTCATGGTGACCTCTCGAACAGCGACTACGGGTAAGTTTAAAGTGCTACTATGATCAAATGTTTACCCCTAGATTTTTTAGGTGTATAACATAGAACTCCATGAAAGATTCAAAACGCTGTTTACCGTTTGCAAATATCTGCATTAGTTCCGGAGATATTTAAGTTGATATTAAAAATGTGTAAAATATGTAAATGAGATGACACACTTTGCAAGGCATTTCTGCCTACGTCTCATCATATGTTTAATTCCCTGATGTGCCCTCAAATCGATACGAATTCCAAGGTTGCATCTTATTACATGAAATAACGTAAACAGCTTCTCCGCTATTTTCTGCGATCGTTTAGTTTTAGAATGTTGCGTATTTAAACAATTGTATCTAGGATAGTTTTGATAGTTGTGCCACTGATACAATATCTGAACATATCACGCTGGAATTAAGAAACCCGCAAGTTATTCTAGTGTTTTTTGAAAGAGAAATGACCGAAATTTGGGTGGGTTTTTACCCTTTCTAATGTTGCCTGTAATTAACCAATGAAAGAAGCATTACAACCTCGTGAATCACTCGTTTAATTGCGTAAGTTATGTTTCATTCATTTCCGTTCGTTTTCTCTCTTTGTGGTACAAACTAAGTCCGCTTTGACGTTCGACGCATTCGTAGCAATTTAACAAGCTGTCTGCGGAGTTATCAATGTTTTCGTAACGTTTTTCATTTCAGGTGAGATTGATCTCTTTGAAGCCTTCAACATCAACGTGAATACGAAAGGCTTCACACAAGTCCAAGGCCTTACAAAAGAATTCGGCAATGCCTACAAGGTCGGAAAGAGCATGCCGAGAATGGAACAGTCAAACCATGTTCTGGATGAGATCAAAAGCTCCCTGATCAAAGAAAGGCGACTTGTTATTATCGCCAATGTGAAAGTGAAGCATTTTTCATTTGGAACGCTATTCTCTGTGGAGTCTAAGAGTAGAGGTATTAGTTCATAAATGTATTTATGTTTTTCCCTCGTTTATGTCACTAAAATCTGGGGTTGGCTGAGCTCTGTTTATTGGGTAATGAAGACACAGATGCCACATGGGTCAAAATGGCTATAGGAATGTATTTTATGATTTGCAAGGATTTTCCAAGCATTGGTTTAATGTGCCTAGTCATCGTAGGTTTGCCAGAGAGTAAAGATCAGTAAAGGAGATGTCAATAGGCAGGAACAGACTTTGAGGGAAAATCCCACCTCTTCTTTCGTTCTCGCTTTTGTTATGTTTTGTTGTTGTTGTTGTTGTTTCTTTTTTTGTGCTGTAATAATTATTCTTTCTTGTCGTTTTCTGGAACATGAGTTGTGTAGGGATGACTTTAATACCCATTTACATACTGATGAAAATATAACCTAAGTTACTTAATGTAAAGAAAATATCGTTTGTCGTTGAAACAGGACTAAAATAAAAAATATCGTAACCAATATTATGTTATTTATTCAGAAAAAGCCTTACTGACCGTATGGGTAAGCTGTTATCAGTCTTGTCGCCTGGGCATTACCTACCAAACGTCAGAGCGGAAAGTCCGGGACGTTTCATTCCACCATATCGGTAAAATATCTGATGACAAATGGCACAACATTGCACTCCATATTTTCCCGCACAGTCACCTCGAGAAAACAGAGGTTGATCTGTACGTTGACTGTAAGATGCTGAGCAGAAAGAAACTATTGACGAAGATAGAAGATTTCGTGCCATCCTCAACAGGAAATCCTCAGGATACTGTGTTTTTGTTTGCACAGAGAGGTGGATACAAAAACAGTGTCATGTTGACTTGGAAGGTATGACAAAGTCCACACCACACGACAGTAACAATATTATATATATGACAAATTTCAATTAGTACTTATATAAGTTTCTGATTTTCAGATTTTCAGAATCCCAGACATTACCCTTGATGGCATTCGAGCATTTCATTGAAACAAAAAATACTCGGCACAAGACGGCCAGTCTAGTCAGTTTAGTGACGAAAATAGGAGAAAAACGCCTTGGAAAAAACGAGTTTTCATGTTTTCATCAGTTACTTGATGTTATCATGTCTGCGAAATAATAAAGCCTATATCTCATCAAAAATCGGTCAAAAAAGTGTAAAATCAAATACGACAAATTTACTGTCCAAACAGCTTTAGGTTTGGAGTATCGCCAGTATTTTATGATTAATACTATGACTAACACAGCCTTGTTGGCTCATAATATGTTTGGCTGTCAATGTGGGCCAATTAGGAGAACAGCAATCCCAATTTTTCTGATGTCAAGAAATATTAGGCAAAGTGGTATTTAAGGCTTGTTTCTGGGTTCAATAGTAACATTTCGTTGTTTTTGTTTCCGTCAGGGAAGCCTTCAGAACGTCAAGCTTGTATTCAACAAGGAAATAGAAGAGTTAATGAACAGCACAAGCTGCCCGTCTCCCAGTGCTCCTGTTTTTCTGGTCGATGGAGAGCAACAGTTTTCAGCTGGTAAATTGTATATGCTTTATTTCAGTCTCACAGCCCCTAACGCCCTGGCCAAACGGACTGGCAAGTAGTCGCAAGATGAAACCTTAGGTCTACTTGTGATTCCGTTTGTCCAAGCCTTATGTGCCCCTGCGTTGACTTGCGATGACTTGCGCTCACTTTGGTCGAGATCCAATTTGCACGCAAGTTTTCACGGTTTGGCCAACCAACTCAAGTCAACGCAAGTTGAGTGACGTACATTCGTTGTTATAGGAACCTATTAACCAATGAAATACAGGATAATTTCCGCGCGGTACTAAGCCGGTAGCCTTGAAATAGGTCTTTCTGCGACTTGCGTGTACTTGCGAGGGAACTTGCGAGTCTGTTTGGCCAGGGCACAATGTATAAACTATAAACTGTAAATGATATTAAACACGGCGCGCGAAGAAGTCACTCCACCAAAATTTATTTATTTTATGACTGATAGAATGATAAACCCGGAAAAGGCATCTAAAACGATGATTAACTGTGTAGCAGAGAACTAGATACCAGGTTATTTAATATGTTGTTGTTCATCAGTCATAGCTGGGAATAACAACAACTACATACTTGAAATATCAATTAATCATACATTTGAACTGCATTTTCTCATATTTGCAATTCACTTACAGCCGCTGAAGTTGTTAAGAAAAAAATTACCTGCTAAGATCTGTCGTCGTATTTGCATCATGAAATGACCAGTATATTGTTTGGCTCTCTAAATAATTTGTTGATTGACAGATATACATATGGTTGTTTGCATTTCTCACAGGTTTTCTGCAGTCTTCTATCAGGGGCGCGTCTAAGTCAGCTTTCGCCGCGCCACCCTCCTTGCAGTACTCCACTCAAGACGTCATGATGGTTCTGGTTAACATGCAGAAGGAAGCTCAAAGACGCGAAGCAAGTCTTCAAAGATCGCTGATGCAATTGAAACAAAGCTTACAAACTCAGGTAAGCGACGAGGATACTTAAATTATTACATACCAGGACTTATGTGTCCTTTAAAGGCTTTCTTTTGAAGTTCAAGTTGTATATGAGAAGGAAGGGGAACTTGGGATTGTAAGAAATTTGCGGCTTTGTAAGGAACACATAACAAGCTCTACATTCTAGGTTTAAGGTTTCCCGACTTACGAGGTCACTCTAAAGATATGAACTCACCGGCTAATACTTCAGGAATTGTAAAAGCGGCGTTTCTTTCGAGAAAAATATTTCTCTTACGGTTGCAGATCTTGTTTTGTGTTCCATGTTGTTCTGTTTAGAGACAATTAGACGACATATTACTAGACCCTTTTTCGTAGAGTCCAAATTCATATATATATATATCAGTTTTACCTCTCTAATAATTCCTCTCCGTCCACCAGAAGAAATGGTTACTCGGGGAAATGTAACCAAAAGAGCACAAATAAAGATTGTTGTTGTTGTTGTTGTTGTTGTTGTTGCTGTTTTGGAAATTGTTTGACAACAAAATTTTGAGGAGTAAACTGTTTTATGGACTAGCTTTCATTCACGTTGCTTAATACCTACGTCTAGATGACTGTGCGAGTAGGGGACTAAGTACGAGGGCGACAATTCAAACCAAGTGTAATGCTTTCGTTAGCACACCTCGCACAAATTTCGAACTGACAGTCTCCTATTTAACTGGTCAACCTACGACAGGGAAAAGCAAGGGCTCTGGTAACCTAAATAGATGCAAATTCGTACTCAGTCTCTCGCCCTTACTTCTATCTAAAGGTCCCTGAGGCTCGAGCTATGCTCAAAGTTTAAACAATTGTTCTTCAGATTGATTTTACTTCACTTTCAGTTGTCTTCATTTATTCAGCTTTGTTCATCTGATCTGTTTTGCAGTCTGCACATGTGACGTCCATCAAGAAAACACTGGAAAACGGAGTTTGCTCCAATCGAGCCTACTCACCGGGAACAGGAAATGGTAATGGTGGAATCCTTAAGAATAAAACTAAAACGGATAACAAACACATCATAAAAAGTTACAAGAAAGGTAAACCTTTTTAAAACGTCTTGGACGCCATCCAAATCGATCTCGCTTTTCACGTCCGTTCACCATCATGATGGCATCCGCTGATTGCATAATCAAGTGTGCGCCGGCTAACCAATCGGAAGGAAGCACAGAGCCCTTAATGCAAAGCGAGCTTCTTCAGCGCATAATTTACCACGATGACATCCGCTGACCACGTACTCAAGAGTGCCGAGTAACTTAAACGGATTAGCTAATCACATGACGGCAAGTAATGCTGTACCTAGCTATTCAAAACTGCCTAACAACGTACATCGGAAGATCTATCGAAGTTGGCTTAGAACATCTAATTATGGTGTGAAATATGCTTGAACATGAGCGATTAGATATCAAAACTAATTCAATACCAAAAGATATAGACAAAACTGGCGAGGCAGGAATTAAATTTTAAGTTTTGTATATCTTCGCCAAAACAAGTGCAATTTTTTTCTAGCTTGTTTGATTTACTTGACTTAGTAGTTTTGAAAAGAATGGTAAACTTCTCGTCGTTGTTTTGTGGAGGCAAGGAACTTCAAATAACCACAACAAACCTACTCAGACCATTGTTGTTGACTTCCCTGTACAATTGATTTTGGTGGTGTGGGAGGGGGCTATTTATCTTTGAACTAACAAGATTCTAACGACGTAAATGAAAACGGCTTATCCTGCTTATGCTAATATGCTGTGATAACCGTGACCAATACCTATGACCTCTGCCAGCCATTATATTTTGTCCTGTACGCATTACTTACCATTGGTCATACTTTGTTCTTCACAATGTTTATTGTGTATTCTCTCAACATCTTAGCATGTAAGCTTACCTGTTCACCTCTATACGTTGTTTTCTCCGTATATTTTTGAACTTGAACGCCTCTTCATTTACCAATATGTTCAAATACCGAATAATTTGTATGAAAGAAGGCCATTTAACCAAAACAAATCAGGCGTTTTTGTCCGCTTGTCTACTGTTTTTCTTTGGTTGTTTGTTGCCATGGTAAAGGTCACTTCCACTGTGTGTTTCCTTAAGAAGCTTCGTCACGGTTTGCGCATCTTAAAATGTTTAGCCTAAATTTTTCAAGTTCGCCGTTTGTAATCCGTGTCTATATCTTCTCCATCCTTAACAATCCTTGTTCCTTTTTGGTTTATTATTATCTCTTTGGGGTTTTTCTATGTTAGTGACCTACTATTTTCACGTTTCCTTTAATTTAAAGGAAATTTTGCATCTGGACAAAAATAACTCAAAATACCTTGACTGAGCGTCTTCAATACATTGTAGTTGTTAGTTTTGAACCCGACAAAACGTTTACATTTGGTTTTGCTTTTCCATATAAATCGCCACCTTTCGGTGCCAGAGACAATTAAATTTTAATCCTTGAAAAAACTCTCACTCAGATGAAAATTTTGTTCCCAAACAAAAAGGAACGATTAATTACCATTTGTGCCAATTTTGATCATGAAAGACAAATGCTCAGTGGGATAAAAGACTAGGTACATTGAAGAAGATAAGAGCTATACCCCTGAAATATAAACGAGGTCTTAATCTTTGCATGCTGTTTCAAATCAATCTTACCCTATCAGGTTACGGTTTCAAAATTTGGCCTATCAGCGTAATGTAAATTCCGTTTCTAGTTCCAGATTAGCTGTTGGGGAGGGGGGGGCGGGTGTTCCAGCTTTTTGTTTGAAGGGGTAGGAAGTCACGAGGTCTCTCACTAGACGAGACTTAATTGTGTTCCCTGTTGCATTATCTTAGCCTGCGAGCAGGCTAGCATTGTCTTTGCATATCCTATAAAATCTGAGAATGTAATTCTTATAACCTGAGTGACTAAATAGCCTAGCTTTTATTAAGTGTACTTTGTTTTCTATTGTTTCGCCTCAGACGACAAGTGCTCGCTGAAGCCTTGTTTTCCGTTTGTTGAATGTACAAATACACCCGGAGAGGGACTTGGGTTCAAGTGTGGCGAGTGCCCGCCTGGTTACATGGGAGACGGGATCAGATGTGATGACGTCAATGAGGTAAATACCGTCCGTCAGTTATGTGTCAGATAATAATTACTTATTAACCGAAAGTGAGGTCTTTACGGGAAAATCTCAGACCGAAAACCTTGCCGTACTGACCGAGCGATAGCGAGGTTTGAGATTTTCCCGTAAAGGCTGAACGTTCGAGGTTAATAAGTTGTTCGTTATACGGCTTTTTGCTTTGTTTTTGCAAGCCCGTAATCGGCCCCTGGGCATTACGGGGGAATGATGCCCTACAATTAGCCAGTCAGAGCGCACGTTATATCGACTACAAGAACAAGCCATATAATACGGTTATCATTCGATGCACTTTATTCTTCCTTTTCATTGGCCGAGGGCCCACCACGTGACCTGCAAATGTGCATAACTACTCATACGTGATACCGTCTAAGTGTGTCTTTCTGCAAATAATGCTCTGCTTAATTACGCGTAATTGCAACCACGTTCTCGTGTTAAAAATGGGCAGGTCGCTTCCCTGAGTTCTAAGAGAGTGATTTAGAGCCATTTAAATATGAAAACAAACTTCTTGATCGAATGATAAAACAGATATTGAACTCGGTTATCGCAAAATATCGTAATTTGTCAGTGTCCCGCAGATCAATTATTAGCTTCAGCCTTCGGCTTCGGAAATAAATGATCTGCTAGCCGCTGACAAATCACGATATTTTGCTCAACCTCGTGCAATAATTGTAAATATTAAGTAGATACTGTCGTGGGTTGTTTCTATTGGCTGCAATGCAATTTTTTATTATTATTATTATTATTTCTATAACGCCCGTTTCTTCTTGAAAGCAATGACACCTTTCAGTGTGGGGTAGGCTAGAAGAGTTTTTACGATATGAACAATGTTAAAAAACTAGCTAGCACTATGCACCAAAGCTAGACTGCATAAAAAAAGTTAAGAAAGTCTAGACAACAAGTCTTAATGAATATGTTCTGCGGCTTAATTTCAAATGTATCTGGGGCGATTTCCACAAATCCCTAGACTTTTTTAATTAAAAATACACAGCACAGGAGAGATGTTCTAAAATTGATTTTAAAGTAAATAAACGTCACATTTTACAGTGAGAGAACATGAAAAGCGAAAATTGATTTTGTGACATACATGCTACTTAGTGATGTAAAACTAACAGAATTTTATTTCACCAAAGCTCTTTTTCTTTCCTTTTTTTTGTGCTTAGCCTTTAATGTACAATATTATTGCATTTTGATCCATTGTTGAGTCTAATCCATGTCACTTTATTGACACTGTTGGTCTGTAGCGAAGCAACGAACATTACAGAAAAGTTCGCAATAGAAATAAAGTTATTTTTTACACCGTTTGTTTGCAAACCTGTTGCAATAGTTAAAAAACACAAAAGAACATCATTGAGAATTCAGTTTGGGTAAGACCTTGATGAGGACATTTTTACCGAGGTATTTTGAAGAAAACAGACGGAGACGTTTTCATAGGACAAGGACATCGGCAGAAGGCCCGTAATATATGTTAGGCTAAACATCTGTTCTACAATTCTTTGTCTTACCATCGGCTCTGGCCGAGTAAATACGAACTTCATTTTCTCACTTCATTTTCCTAGCACGTTCTCAATCACAAAGAAGATTCATTGTTAGCAGGCTCAGCATCTGTTCTTTCTTACTAGAATTTTGTTGTTAATACAGAATTTCAAGTCTTCCAATTTGGTTCACAACTGTAAAGATGTTAATTTATCCAGTTATACTTAATTTATGCGTGTTTAACAGATCGGTCGCTCGCTTCACTCCGTTTTCCAAGATTAATTGTATTTAGAGCCTCTAGTGCCTCATTGTCTGTCTTAGCAAATGCGTTTCAACAACTATACAAGTTACCCGGAGTGTTCAAACCGTCGAATTCCCAATGCGCACTTCAGAGACCGAACAGAACTCTTCTCACTCCTATTTCCATTTTTAANCCCCCCCCCCCCCAAAAAAAAAAAACGTTTAGAAAATTTTCATCTTACTTTATTGACATTTTTTTCAGCACCGTTAAACAAAAATACAGTGTTAATGAAATAACCAAAAAGTGTCCATGAGGTAATCAGTGCTTCCTATTCCATGTTTGATGTGCTCGCATATGGTTGATGCGTGTTTTACTATGAGGACATTAAAGTGAGTTCCGATTTGCTGTTTCCCAGAGATGCGGTGAATAACTAAAGGCCCATTAAACTCGCATAAACTGTAACCGTTTTCTTCAGTGTAAAGAACTTTTCCCGTTGAGAATGGAGTAAACCTTTCATTGTTCAAGAGATCTACTTTGATGTGTTGCATTAACGCGCCGAAACACGCATCTTCATTGGGAAATAACCGTGCGACTTTAATAGCATTAGAAAGTTTTGTCAGTAAATTCCCGCTAAAAACATAACCCGGGCCCGAAGCGTAAGGGGGAAATGTCTTCGCGGGATATTCCTTTACTGATACATAGAACTTGTTATCTTGTTCGCGAAAAGGCTCCTTGTTAATCAAAGCTGCGCCCATGTAAAGTGCTTTATTATGTCCCTGCGTTCGCTGATATCCCTCCAACCATTGTGTAAGCTCAAGTACAGCAACATACGAATCATCATCTGCTTTCATCACATACTGCGCCTGGCAGTGGGCTGCTGCCCATTCAACCCCTAGCACCATCTTTCTTGTTAGGTTGCGGTACGAGTCGATGAAGTTTCCGAATACAATATCTTGATAGTTTACGGCCTCTTGTCGTAACAGCCCGCCCAAAATTGGATTCCGTGTCTTTCCCACAAGGAACACTGTTTTCCACAACCTTAACCAGAGTAATTATAAAAATATTTCGTTAAAATCTAGAGCAAGTCAAACATGTGGTATCAACTGGGATTTTGCAACAGTTAAATTATCATAAACTCTCAGATTCTGTTAAATTGACAAAAAACTGAAACTAATTGAAAGAGTTTGGAAAAATAGAATACTTTTTGATTCTCAGAGCGGTGGACTCTAAGTTTCCACTCATCTTGTAGTTTATTTTCTCAGTCCTCTTATAATAAATTTCCAGAAACAACACCATAGTATTGTTAGTTTAACGGTACATGTGTTTTTAGCGACGCACGATGCCTCTAGATCGGCCTAATTAAAATTATTATCATTGCTTAACCCAAAACATACAAGGAAATTTAACATTTGCTCGACAACAAACGAAGCTTTACAGAACTGTACGCGAAAGTAACCTGAAAAATGAAATCCAAACATAAATATTGTACGAACCATGGAATCAGTTGCTTTCCTGCGTTCGCATCGTTGATACTATTCTGCGGTCTTCCCCAAGACAGTCGAATAGCCTCTCTTTCCATGAAGTTTGCCGGCGCTGAATGAACCAGAATCAAAAGATATGGTGTCTGTTTACAATCAGGCAAAGATGTTTTCATTTCGATATCTTGTTCCCTCTCTTCGCTTCTTTTGCCATGCAGTGAAGCTAGGCGGAAAGCTTTTCCAACGGTGTGATTTTTTGCTTCGAATCTCCTAAACGTTTCATCAATTTCCTTCTGTAATCCTTTGAGGTAGCTTTGTGACTCTGTTTTATCAAACACAAGTGTTTTGCCTTGTTCTTTAATGTCTTTAGGACATTTTTCGAGAGACTGCCTTGCATATTGATAATTAAAAACCACGAAAGTGTTCCACACTGCCGCGAGAACAGTGAAGAACACAACTAGTTTTGTTCTCCAAATGGATGTGAGTCTCATATCTATTGGTGAACGTTTGGAAAAGGACGATGGTTTCGAAGCCCAGCAAGTTGTAGCTGATATATAATGTTTGGTTCCCTTTTTGTCGTCCGTGGACACAATTATCGTGTACGTAAGCAATTGATAAAAAAAAGCTGGTTACCATACAATTCGATTATACTGTACACGAGGGTGGCAAAACAAAAGATTGTGCCGGGTTGTCACGAAATTGCCATCTTTTTTTTAATTTGCTTCTGTGAAGTTTGTTTGATCAGCGTGAAAACAAAATCCAAAACAATAACTCAACAATTATTCCGTGGGATAAAAAGTTACCATGGAAACCGTGTTGAAATTATGAACTGCGCATAATTTATGTCGCATCTAGTTAATCATTGCCGCGGGCTTATACAACTTCATGAGGGCTTTGGGTGGGCTTAAAGCGGGGGGCTTATGTCCGGGGGGGGGGCGTTTTCTATTGATATAAATGGGCCCCTAACCGGAGGGGTTTATAACCGGAACTTCATGGTAACTAGCAAAGCCGCGCTATCAAACTCAGTTTACATCAATCGTCCATAATAATCCAGTGATGCACAGTTATCAAAAGAGCAAAGTTAACTTCGCTTTGCCATTTCAAACGGCGAAGTTGTAAAACAACTGAGAACGCGAAAGGTTTCACGGATTCGAATTAGGTTTTGGCCAAGAGTAGCTAGCGGATAGCAGTAATTCACCAAACAACTTCGCGCGCACCGAGGGCTTTTTGATAGAATATCCTGTGCATCTAATCAGAGTTTGCAAATAGTTAGCCACAACCTGGGTCATGTCAATAATCGACTTATATTTTCTGTTCTTTTCTTTACAGTGTTTGTATTTACCGTGTTCTCCTCACACGACCTGTACCAATCTACAGCCGGGGTTTAAATGCAGTGCCTGTCCTAAAGGCTTCCTGGGTAACTCTACGATGGGAATTGGAGCAGATTTTGCTGAGAACATCAAACAGGTTAAATGACTTTCAGTGTTCTTTACTGAGATAATATTAGTTCCAGAAAAGATAGTGAGCTCCAACTGATACATTTGTTGGAATCCAGTATTTTGACATTCGCCGGCGCATGTCAAAATACTGGATTCCATCAAATGTATCGTTTGGAGCTCACTATCTTTTCTGGAACTAATTTTTACTTATTTCTAAACAAACAATAGAGTTGAAGTGCGTGTTCATCTGAAAAGCGCGGTGACCGAATGGTTAGTGCGTTAGACCCTAAACTGAGAGGTCAGAATTGAAATACTGACTGGGAGTTCCTATGTCATGTTCTTGGACAAGACACTTTTAATTTACTCTCACAGTGCCTCTCATGAGTTTAGGAGTATGGCAATTGAAATAGAGGACCTGATAGAATGCAAATTGTGCGGTAACTTTATGTTGCGAACAAGTAGACCCAACTCGGGTAAATATGTGCATATTATTTAATTGAATTTTGCATCTTTAGATTTGTAACGACATTGACGAGTGTAATGATGGGAAAAATGGCGGCTGTTCTGTTCATTCAACGTGCATCAACACACAGGTAAGTCAGGACACATTAACAAGCTAATAATACACTTGAAAACATTACTCGATTCTGATTAGCTAAAAAGGGGTACGGTTTCCATATGACACCAGTGCAAATTTCAACAAAGATATCCTAAGTTACTACGAGGACACTCATGGTAATCCGAGGAATTTCGAAGGTGAGCGAGGTTCACCCGAAGCCTTCCGAAAATAGTCGAATGTAACTGGACGTTTTCCGCGTACTTCCGAAGATCACCCGAACCCTTCCGAAGATCAACAAATATCACCCGATTACCTATACTAATAATACACCTGAGCAAAATATATTTGTTAATTTATTGACTTAATGCTGTATTTTTCAGGGTAGCTATACCTGCGCTGCATGCCGGGATGGATACGTTGGAGATCCTTACAGTGAATGCGTTGTCGTAAAATACTGTTCTGGTGATCCTAAATCAAACCCCTGTGGGCTTGGAGCTGAATGCATACCAAAGAAGAAAGGGTTAGCCTTCGAATGTAGGGTAAGGAAAGCGACTTGTAGTCTTCCCTCATATTTCCTCTCGTTTTCTTGCCTCCACTGAACGTATCTCAACGCTAACACTGTCGTTTGCAGTGTAAACCTGGTTTTGCTGGAAATGGATTCGTGTGTGATGCTGACGAGGATATGGATGGAGTCCCTGACGAAGCATTAAACTGCACTGGTGACCCTCGCTGTGCCAAGGTAAAGCTTCAGTAAAAGTACAAAAAGATATACTTTTCCGACTGTTATTCCTAAACAAACGACTCGCCTCTTTGGTTGATCAAGAAACTGGAGAGGTTGAATCCTAGCCGTTTCTAAAGAAAATATTTGGCATGCCTACATATCAAAGTAAACACTCAGACCAATAAAGGCTGATAAAAACGTGATACAAACCAACAAAGAAACGACAGGTTTACCACCAAAAACACTCAGTAACATTGATACCATTTAACGCCTTGTTACTATGTTATTCATAGGACAACTGCAAAAGTATTCCAAACACAGGTCAAGAGGACACGGACAAGAATGGCTTAGGGGATATGTGTGAATATGACGCGGATCGCGACAGATATATTAATGATGCGGTAATTCAATTTTTTTGTCAAAGCCGTTATTTGAAACGATCCTATAGGCCTTTCCTAGTCCAGGGCTTGGGTTAAAAAGGCGAGGCAATGGCTGCACGTTAGGCTAGCGCTTTTCGCTATAGAGACTCTATTGTCAAGTGAGGCGGCCACGCATCCTTGTGGTAACAAGTGGTCTAAGTACCACCTTAAATGTTCTCGCGAGTGGTCATGAAACTTTTTATTGAGGGTACGACGTAATTTTAACCAATCAGCGCAGAGAATTTTTCTTGTCGTCCAATCGTGTGGTTTCCACCGTTTGCCGCCAGGTGCACGTTTTCCCGCGCTTTCCGTAAACATGGCTACCAGCTTTTACTTCCAGTCCTGGTTGGTTCTCGCAATCATGTAGCTAGTTCATACACTATTCCCTTACAAAGTAGGTTCTAGAATTACATCAGGTTGACGTTTAGACCCATGCGTTTAAGCCCGTTGTTTTCTATCTCTTAGGACAACTGCCCGGATGTTTACAACCGACATCAGAAAGATGAAGATCGCGATAAAGTCGGAGACGTTTGTGATAACTGCCCCAACGTTCCTAACCGTGATCAAAAAGACATGGACGGGGACGGGATTGGGGATGCCTGTGACACTGACACGGATGGAGATGGTAGGATGACCCAGCTAGATAATCAAATGTAATCAGAGGGCCTGAAATAATGGAGTAAATAAAAATCATCTGTACAGCTAAACCATAGCGAACTAACTTTGAGACCAGGACCAAAACAACCGAATGCAGAGCAAAACCTTGCATCTAAGACTTGAGCATACTTCATACAAGCTGACACAAGATCTAAGTCTTAGCACACATTCTTTCCTCCGCAAGGCGAAACGAATGTTTGTGTTTGGGGGCTAGCATATTGAGACGGGTGTGATTGCATGGTAAATTAATAGATTAAAACGAGTGATGTGTAACAAACATTGGTCTTCGTTGTTCTCTGAAGGTCTAAGAAATATCTTCGATAACTGTCCACTGGTTCCAAACAGAAAACAATCAGACAAAGATGGCGACAGTTTTGGAGATGAATGTGACAACTGTCCGTCTACTACCAACCGTGATCAGGTAAGTGTAAATGGCTTTTCCAGAGGTGTGCAATTACAAATTCCTCCTTCTCGTTCTCCTCCTCCTGCTGCTCTTTGATTTCGCCGCTCCGTCTCCTTCTCCCACCTACCTCTACCCCTTCCCCTCCTCCTCCTTCTACTACCAACCTCCTTCCCCTCCCCTCTAGATCTATCACCTCCTTCTTCCCCCTCTTCCTACCTTCTACTCGGCCTTTCCTTCTCCTCCTACGCCTACTCTCTTCCAACGTCCGCCTCTCCCACCTCCTCTCCGCCTCCTCCCCGTCCTTCTACTTCCTACCACCTGCCTCCTTCTCCTCCTCCTTCTCCTTATATCTCCTGACACCTTCCTCCTCCTCCCCCTCTTACCTCCTTCCCTCTATTTCTTCCTAAATCAACGATCTTTCACGTTTCTCTGTTAGAATGACAGAGATGGTGACAGCTGGGGAGACGCATGCGACCTTGACCGAGATTAGTAAGTAGAACGTAAGAATGGAGAATAAGTACCAGTTTTTAAAGTGGTAGGTATGCCACTGAGCACAGTTGGGGGCTCTGCCAAGATACGTAAAATCTAATAAGAATCGATAAGGGTCGAGATTGATAACGTGGCTTCGTTGAATAAAACGTCAAAATATCGCAAGATATAACATCTGATGATAATAACAATAATAACAACTTTATTTCATTATCTAAAGGATCTAGCATTTGTGGAGCACGGGCGCTAATTGGAGACACTGTAATTACATTTACAATCCAACCTAACCTAACGATTGCTTGTTTGGTCAATTCTTCAGGAATGGTATCGATCAATTTACCTGAAAGAAGGATTTATTTCTGCCAAGGTCCGCTCTCCCAAGGGAGAACAATGTTTAACTATGGTTCCACTATTTTTTTTTTTTTTTTCACACTTCCTTTGCTTTCAGTGATAACGATGGAATAGAAGACAAATTCGACAACTGTTTGAGCCAAGCAAACCCTGATCAACTGGACTCGGATCAGGATGGACTCGGTATGTGAAAATATGAGGATCCCAAGTGGGGCCTACTGGTTAAAAGCTGGGAAATATGGAGTTATATTGGAGGAAATAGGGAAACAAATCAAAGGGGTGTTATTTTGGGGGTAACCGGGGATTAAAGGGTTTGGTTTTCATGATTAGGAAAAAGAAAGAGATTTTTTCCATGAAACAGGGAAAACAGAGGGCTTTATTCTTGGCGAGGACACGAGAACAAAGGACACTATTTTTAAGTCATAGGGTGGGCAAGGAGTTTTATTTTCAGTGAACAAAGGGAAAATGAGCTTTATTAGCAAGTTCCAGGCTGAGGTTCCGTAAATGCTTTCGTTATGCAAATCAGAGCATAATTAATAGAAGGAAATGGATGAGAAGCCCGGTAAACATCAAAGAAGCAAACAAACAAGCTAAGATTTATGTTGGAAGTTCCTTGACCCTACACATCTTTTGTTTTATGTATGAATTACATAATCGCTTTGCTTCTATTGGTTAGTTGTATGAGCACACATAACCACCTTTGTATTTTGCCAGGTTTTGTACAGGGTCAACCCCCAAAATAGCCATCAAAAACATACAACAAAGAACTTTGCCAGGTTTCAAAACCTTTCCCTCTATAAACTATAATAATAATAATAATAATAATAATAATAATAATAATAATAATAATAATAATAACAATAATAATAATAATAATAACTTTATTTGAGTGTCGAGTCTTCTAGCTAGCCTTAAGCTTACTAATCGGGGACACTGTTAAAATTAAAATATAATATAAGTATAAAAACGATTCTGGTCTATTTACATTAAATTATACTACATTTTCGCACACTCTTTGTATTTACATCTAATTCCTACAGTTAAGATACTACTTTAGAATACGGAATATCGAACCTATATTTATAATACTTATAACTAGTGTTTACGGCTCAAGAGTTGCAAAGGTGACACCCTTTGCATGTGTCGCCTCTATGATCAGAGGTAGACTCTCAACTGACCAGTTGGTGTGTTTGTGTGACAGGTGACCCATGTGACAGTGATGACGATGGCGATGGTGTGCCTGATTATAGAGACAACTGTCGACTGGTGTTTAATGTCGACCAGAAACAAACCAGAAGTAAGTTCACGATTAATCAGAAATAATCGTGTAGGCCTGGTTGATTTTTATTGGATAACCAGCGTCGGCGCTCTCAGCCAATCGCGTGTAAGATCACGATTTGAGGTATCTCGTGATGTGTCTGGACGATGTTTAATCACGTGGTCAAGATCAAGTGACGACGTGATATGTCAGTAATACCTCGCTCATGAGAATCAGATTTTAAACAATTATTTAGGGTGAGCATGATTATCAAGGCCAAGGTTTGTGTTGTCTGCCGTGCAGATGGGTAGAGTAGTAATTGCCTCTGTGTTTCCCTCAGGTGATTCATATGGCGATGCGTGTTTTGAAGATTTTGATGGTGATGGTGTACAAGACAGGGATGACGTGTGTCCTGTAAACCCGAAAATATCGCGAACAGACTTCTCTGTTTTCCAGACCCTTAATTTTGACGCGGCGGGCAGCGAACAAGATAAGCCTTCATGGAAAGTCAGCAAACAGGTAAATACGTGACTCGAACTATGCTAGATTTCCAAATGTTCTAAATTATCATTTTGACAATTTAGAACACTATATGAAGAAGTGATCTCAGTTTCATATATTCACATTTGAAATGATCTTTCATATATTCACTTCCAAAGACATCAACAGATTGCTTTGTTTATTTGTCAAAATTTGCTTGTTTGTTTTTTTTTTTTAACCTTTCTTTGCGCAATCTAGATCTCAGTCTAAGAGATTTCTTTGTGATCTTTTATATTCTAAATGCTCGTGTAATTTAAAACGCAAGAAACTTCTTGGTGTTCAATGATAACTAAGCTTTTTCTTAATATTCTTTCTAGGGCAACGAGATACAACAAGCTGTGAACAGCATAGCTACAATCCTCGTTGGTAATTTTTGTCTACTCAGTCTATTTTGTTGTGGGGGGTGGGGATGGTTATATATTTTCCCTGTGTTTTAAATAGCTCTGGAGGTTATGGGAAAAGTTTTTTGTTGTGCGCGCAGTAATCTATGCGTCGTGGCTGTACAGGCAGTCGCGATACTTCCATATCTATGCAAAGGACGATACAGTATATTTTATTTTCATGAGGAATTTTGTCTTGAATTACGTATAGTCTTAAACGGGCTATATTTCTTGCGGCTATTATCCCAATTGTCTTGAGCGAGAAAAAAAAAAAAACATTTCAGTTTCATTGGGCTGAATAGTATTCACACAAGGTTCCCAATTAAGAATTTATAGAATTGTGGTTATGCATCGCTGGCTCTGATTGGTTCTTGTAGTTGTTTTGGATGAGGTTGTGCATAACATGTAAACACGGTTAAAGCGCATCATTTCATTTTGCCTGCTTTATTTTGTAAACGAATTAGGAAATGCCCCATAGCTTGATGTAAATACTCAAGAAAGTTTTTTCACATAAACTTTACAATTTTCCTGACCCTATTTTCGTGTTTGCATCAGCCTTTAGAAAATAGACCGTAGAAATACGCGCCCTGATTGGTTAAAAATCGTGTTTCTATGGCGGGAGCAAAGAGAGTTTACATTTTGATGACCAATGCAAACAAGTTATTTTCTTTATTTCGTCGCGGTATTTCCTAAAAGAAATCGAAAGCATGTTCTCTGTGTTTCTATCGAGTTTTAGTGACTGAGCTGTGTCCTATTGGAAATCCGCGAATCTGATTGGTTCTCTCATCGTTTTATATTCGTTGATAGCGCGCGCTGCTTTTGGAATTGTAGGTTTTGTGTTGCAATCTTGAGAGTGTCTACTAAAACAATTAGACTATTCTTCCTCGTTTTCTATGAATAATAGTCAACTCAGTTACGCCTCGTTGACTATTCGCTCATAGAAAACTCGGGCTCGTTGTTTAATTAACACATATAATCACGAGTAGAGGTATGGGAGAATGATAAAATGCTTTGGGAACATGAGCCGACAGTCGAGTGTTTCCACAGCTTTTTCTAGTTTTGTCAAACCTCTACTCGTGTTTCAATAACTCGACAGAAACACGGAACATGTTTTCTATGTCTTAAATGTAGACACACGTGCATTTTCTACTAGTTTTATTTGATGATCTCTAAACTAGGGTAGAAAAATATTCGTGTCAGAGTTTGAGAGGCACCACCCTACCCAACCTTGTGTTTAGTCACAATCCATGGGTTCATTCTCTATTAATTGTCTTTAGGAAATCATGTTTTTCGCGATGTGGAATACAGTGGAACTTTTTTTGTGAACACAAACTCCGATGACGATATCATTGGCATTGTGTTTGGGTACCAAAGTCCCAGAAAATTCTTTGTTGCCTCTTGGAAGAAGTCAACGCAAATTTACTGGGATACAAGACCATTCAGAGCGAAGGCAGATTCTGCCTTCAACATCAAGGTAACTTGGTGAGATTGCCCCGTCCTTATAACTTCCATTAGGCGTGAAAATAAGCTCGGATATATTACTTGGACGTTATCTGTTCCGAGAAGGGAACAGTTTTGCGAGGGTCGAAATTCTCGGACGAAAACTTGATTGAAAACTATGAGCTTTGAAGAACTGCCTATGTCGAAGGACAAACGTAAGTACAAACGTAAGAGTTGTGTTTATTATCGTTCAAATATTTCCCTACAAGGTCCTTTCTGTTTAAGGGATATCACTTTGGTTGTGTTTCCTCTTTAATCTTTAATAAGTATACTCCTTAAACAGTGGAACTATACTAGGAGTTTAAAATAACATAATAAAAGCACGTAATAAATAATTACAATATGTATATATACAATAAAAATTATAAGTTAGTAAAAGATAAGATAAAATAGATTATAGAAGAAATAGATCCTAACTGTCATCATTTCGTCTATTTTCGTCAATTCGACCCTTTGTAAGTTGTAAAATTTTGTCCACTTGTCAATCTTAGGCCAAGAAATGATTTTCGGCAGGTTAAAATTTTAAGATTTAATACCTTGAAAATTAACCGCAAATTCCACCCCTGGATTTCATGATCTTATTGCTCAGTTGTGCTGCTTAATGTTTATACTGTATGAAGACATGATTGATCATCGCAGTTATGCACACAACTTAAACAGTTGTGAAATTAAAGCCTGAAAAATTAGTTTTGAATTTCACAACTGTTTAAGTTGTGTGCATAACTGCGATGATCAATCATGTCTTCATATCTTTCTCCGTAGTTCAAATATATGATCTTTCATATATTCACTTCTGTTTATACTATATGTTAGTAAATTGTTTTGTTTCCTTATTTATTTTCTTAGAAAATTAAGTCCGTGAGTGGTCCATCGCAAATGCTTCGGAATGTCCTTTGGCACACGGGAAACATCACAAACGAGGTCAGTTTTAGCGATTATATTTTTTATTCCTTGCTTTTTACCGTTGTTTAAATTCTGCAGGAATAACCTTTGTCTTTCTCAATTGTTCTTCTGGAAAAAAATAAAAAGGAGCCTCCAATCGAGGTTTATTTCGAACCTTTCGAAATACTACCTTTTCTCGGGTTGCGTAGATACCTTTTCAGCAAAAAAAAAAAAAAAACCGAAATATATTAGGAAAACAAAACAGCTTTTTTTGCCGGTGATATTTTGTCTAACTTGCTTTATCGTACCTAAAATAACGATGGTAATTATAAAAATTGCACAATTTAATCTTCTCAACAACATAGCCACTTAAAATACTTCGGGACTATTTCGACAAATAATGCACAGGAATACCAAGGCTAGGATAAAAAATATATATATATTTTCGACACCACTGAGAAACTGGGGAAGAAAAGCGAAACAATTACATCAAATAGTTAATTTTAACATACAGCAGGTGAAAGAAATGTCAGTTTTATTAGGCGGTCAGTGTTGTGGGCCCCCGCCCCTTCCTGCTTACAATCCCCATCGGTTAAGGGGCCTTCTACTTATTGTAAACAAAAAAATAATCCGGTTATAAGCAGTCCCGGATGTGAGCTCCCCTCTAACTTTCCTTGTTTTGAATTCGTTTCATTATGATGTTTTAAAGATTAATTACCAGTACATGAAAACCTTTCTCGACCAACATCTGCAGCTATAGCTCGTTTCGAAGCAGTTTTTTTATTCCGGTTATAGGCCCCCTCGGATATAAACCCCTCCGTTTATAAGCCCATCTACAAGCCCTTAGGAAGTTGAATAAACAAGGGGCTTGTAAGTGGCAGTTTACGGTACTTGATATAAATGACACGCTGTGTTCCACCAGGCGACCCTTCTTTGGAAGGATCCAAAGGCACATGGATGGCAACATAAGAAAGCTTACAGATGGGAACTAGTTTACTTACCATCTAAGAGCATCATGAGGTAAGGACCCTTAAATGTATGTGGACATGGCTGTCGGTGCGGGATTTTTTAGCATGAGGTCGAACTCATACCTAATCAATATGGAATAACGTTTTAAGCATGCGCAATCCAGATCCCAGTCTTAATGTTAGTAAACACTCCACACTGGGGTTAATTAATTTATTCAGGTCTCAATGAGTGCATCACAATGATAAGTTCTAAAGCCCTAAAAAAAACCGCAAAAGTTATTCGACTGTTAAGTTAACAGTTATCACCCTTGCGTCATTGTTATGTTTCTGATTTTGGCTGATCAGATCTTTTACAGATCATAGGCATACCGGCAGCATTTTCGTTTGCGTTCCCTTGCATCCTTTGTATTTAGTACGGGGTCGCGCGATTTGAATGTGACATTGACCAATCCGCAAACATTTGAATTCGAGTTTCATCTGAGGTCATTACGTTGTGCATTATAGTAGACAATTGGCCCTCAAGCTGGTTGCTCTGTTTTTTGCTGCTACACCGTTCCGACGAGACCCAACCAGGTCGAAATAGCTGCCCACGGTTGCAATTCTTGGCTTTCGGTTTGGACTCTATCAAGTCCTTGTCGCGTTAAGTCGTCTAGGAAGTAATCAGCCTTGCTTCATCGTCATATCTCAAGTGACAATTTTCCCCTAGTCTTTAACTCGCTACTTTGATTAAGGACTCGTGATTTATATACGTTTTGATGTTTAAAATTCTGTCTATTTTCATTCCCAATTTAGGATAAAAATTTGGCGCAAGCACAACAAATTAATGATAGACAGTGGCGAAATAAATGATCGCGATATTCGGGAAGGAAAGCTTGGTGTTATGAGCTTCTCTCAGGAGAAGTGCATGTGGTCAGCGATATCCACCCGATGTCTTGGTAAGTGTATGTTTTGTGCATTCCTTTGCACTGTTGCAGGAATAATTTTCGCCACGTTACAAAAACTCTTGTCCCAGTCTTAGTCCCAGTCGTTGTTTGATGGCAGTTAGTTACTAACAATTCGTCAGTACGTGGACAGAGGCAAATCATTATTTTGAGCTACTTAGCACTTGACGACTTACCCCCTACCCCCTCAATTGTCGAGCACTGTTCTCCGAAATCAAGCGGCCATAATGTCAGGTTTCTTGGGTTTCGATGGCACACGTAATGTTTGTATTATTCCACTAGCAATGTGTGAACGACATGCAGAAATAAAAGCTAAAGAAAGCCCAAGTAGTAAATCAAGAGTTTGTTCTTTTATTGCAGATCCCTTTGATTAAAGGCCGTCATTCAATTTTCGCGAAGAGTTCCTCTGTGCATATGTATCTAACAGTATATTATATTGACCGATAGAGTTGTTGTAACCTATTTCATATAACCCAACACGAATTTCTCTATCGTGTCATTGGTTGAAGTCGGTCATGTGGGCAGCTGTTCGCACTCGTATAGAAGCACGTGCATAGCATTTAGTTTTCACGTGCACTCGGCCAATCAGTGCATAGAAATTTCAATTCGTCATTAAGAAACGGGGCCTCTGGCTTGGTCCGATGCCTTATTTTTCTTGGGTTCTCTATTCTCGTCCTTTTACAAGCCAATAAGGTTTGACGAAAATCGACGTTGGCCAGAGGGCCCAATTTTTGTTGCTGACCAAAAGCATCGAAACCTCTGAGGACAATAGCGACAATGAAGGTTTCCAGTTGAGAAATGACTCAGCAGTGAAAAAGCTTATCTTAATTAAGATGAGAGCTTATTTAACTTTTAATTTCAAGACAACAAAAGAATCGAATGTATGCATGTATAAATTACGTTACATATTTAACTCAGTACGTTCTCCATTTTTCAGTAAAACGTTTTGGATTTAGTAAAATCACCTCTAAAGCTGAAGATATTTTTAACACATTTGAGCACATCTTGCACTTATCTTTTATTTGATCATTTTACATGTAGCTACGATAATAATTAAAATGGATGGCAGAAAGCTGCTTAGAGTTGCCGCTCTTATTATACTATTGTTCACAAAAAGTCAGCAAGAAATATAATTTCAAGATTGGAAGATAGAGAGGTTTTCTTGCTAGCCCTTGAAACATTAAGGCTAACGGTTGTTCAAAAGTAATGGGCAAATATTTTCAAAATGTGCGCGTATGACAATAGACAATTTCATATTTTCGGCATTGGACTGTAACTACCTTGCCTTGGAGGCATAATTAAAAAGAGATTGATGTCATTTGCATTTGAAAAGACCCTCTGCGTTAGCCTTAGCTGCAAGCTACTTTCAGTCCAATTGTCGTGTAAGATAGAGCTTATGTAAGTTATAACTTCTTATAAGCTTATGTTTAGTTATAACTCATACGTATATCAACTTATAAGAGTTGTAACAAAATAAAACTAGTTTATTCTACTATTTTCATTTCTTTCGTTTTTTTCTTTCTACTGGGATTGGATTTCTCCGGTTGGGCGGTCTTTGATACTGGCGAAAAGAACCTCATTACGTTACAACCCTCGGAGTGGTTTATAGTAGCTTTTCCTAGAGGGCCCTACATTTGGCCAGCGATAACGCGAACCGAAAAGACCCTTATTACGTTACAACCCTCGGAGTGGTTTTTAGTAGCTTTTCCTAGAGCGTCGCTACATTTGGCCAGTGATAACGTGCATGAACCATATGCGGGCCAATCCATCTTGTTTTGAGACATAAAAAGGTTATCATAATGATTTGATTAGCGCCTGGGGCGCTAAATTACTTTGATTAGCTCAAGGAAGGACGCTTATTGGAGAAAGCCCCCTTTAGCGACGGCGGGCGTTGATCTCTTTTTGCACATGTGCGTGTGATACTGATACAAATACGAAAAAACAACAGAGACTGTACTCTAACACAAGAACTGAAACAACAAGGGTTCTGATAGTCATAATATTCAATATGACGTTCAGATGAGAAAGAACACCTCATAATTTATTCGTCTAATCAATCTATTCTGTGTCTGGGGGTACTCTACAAAGTTCTATACGGGGAGGCCCCACCCCTAGGTCCAAGCCCTTACCCTTTTGTATATCATTTTGACAGAAAAGGTACTCCTTCCGGGCGGAGCCTCCCTGTATAGACCATTATAGGGAGTGTCCCCCGGGGGATTCTACGTCACTTTCGCTTTAGGAGCGCTCTTTGTAAAGCGGGCGCTTATTGCTGCTTATTGAGATAGGGGCGCTCATTACAAACGGTCACTGAGTGGGAGGTGCTGATTACAAAGGGGAAGGAGGGCGCTATTAAAATAAAATCATTACGTTATGCTTGTTCGAAAGATTATATACCACATTGCAGGTGTTAATCGTGATCAGACCAATATTTCCCTCAGGATTTCCTCATCTGTGCAAAAAGAACGTGCGCGGAAAAATTCGTTAATCACAGGTTACGAACCGCACTTGTGAGGCTGTAGCGCCCAGTTCCCTAATCTCGGCCTTGCATGTTAGAAACCTTTAAGCTTTTAGTGCAAACAAGATAGGGTGATCAAGATTAACTTCTCTTCTCAGGATGGAAACAAAGAGCATATTCAAACCTATCCTCAAAAAAATATGTAACTACTTCGGGCCGGAATGCGATCTGAGGCTTCCAATGACGACTCGCTTTTGTCTGCGCACTTCAGTTACTATTTGAAGCCGTGTTTGATCGTGCCACTAACATATCAGATTCCGTGAATTTTCTTGACAGTCTGCGTGCAGACGTTTCCTGGCTCCTTCCTGACAGCACTCGAAGCCATTTCTTCGAATTCTCTCGTTTCACAGGAAGATGATTGGCCCCAAAATACCGACCTTGTGGTTTCGAAACCTTATCTGTAGCTCTACTTCGCACCAATGAGGCAAAATCTAGAATCCTATTTTTTCACGTGATAAATGTAGCTCAAAAATGTATCCGTTGGGAAGCGACCCACCTTATCTACAGAACTATCCGCCTGAGGGTCTCGGCCGGGCTTCAATTCCATCACGCATGAAAAATGCTGCGTAATGCTTTCGCATGACGGTTTCAGTCACGCGTGACAGGTTGAACTTCCGCCGAATACATTCAAGGGCTCTTAATATTTTAGGAGTGCTGTGTAGTGATAAGCCCTCTCATAAATTTCCTGTAAAAAGAACACAAACGACAGAACAAATAGTCTGGAACAAAATACACTTTATGCAAAGTAGTGATAACAACAACCCACATGCGTGCGATATTGGCTACAGTCGCCATTAGAATCAAGACCGATCATCAACAAAGTTTACACGAAATATTAATTAACTTTTAAAATAAATCAGGATAAGCTGGAGTCAAACTTCACAAAATTTATCATGGTTGTGTTTATCTCGATAGATAGTACTTTGACATAAGTATTTTGATATTTGTGAGCAATGATTTTCCTGTTGTATTTTCCTAGGTTGAAAAATAAACTATAAATATATGGTCGGCTTGAAACAGAAATTCGAAAGGACTCACACAGTTTTGGATGTTCATTTCCTTCATTGTTGTGTCATCGTTACATCATTAACTTTTTGTTCGCCGATATTTTGATAAATATTTACGTTTTCACGATAATTGCTTTGAGAAAAGCCGGTTACCGATAAATTGAAATCCGCTAGGAAAAGAGGAACGATCAAGTCGATCGAAGATGCCCTTATCAGATAAACAGACCAAAACTGCCTTAGCTATTTAGCTATTAGCAAATGACTAGTGGCATGCTAGGAAACGCAGAACTTGAGTATTATTGAAAACGAGAAATAAATAGATTAATCGCCATTGCGAAATTGCCACAAGAACCCATCGAAGAAAGTCCGGAAGAAGGCGTGACGTCACTGCATTGTCTTCGTCGATCTCTTGATCAATTCTTGTGGCAGCTGAAGCTCCTGGTTAATCGTTAATTTATTCCAAATAGTTCGCTCTTCAGTGAAAGTCGCTAGACAGTAGAAGAGCTTTATTTGTGGCTACAATCGGCGCCGGCTGTTCATAGTACGCACTGAGACATGGCAAACACCATGTTTAGCCACTCTAGAAAAGGGGACATCAAAGATTTTTATAACATTGCAGACGGAGAGCTCGGAAGGTCTGTATGCAGTTTTGTGTGTTTTACGGTTGTCTTCGCCGGGCTTTCTGTAATTTGCTTTGACAAGGTCTTCATCGCGTGCGGTATCGAACTTTGCAAACTTAGTCAGCATTGGCGTTGTCTAAGCGCGACTGATCGAGTGTTCGAATGTTCATTTCCATGTTGTTTCTTGTTCACAGGGGAGCCTCTTCGGTGGTGAAGATTGCCAAGCACAAAGGAACTAACAAAGATTATGCGATTAAGATGATAACTAAAACTGTAAGTGAAACGACAAGGTTTCCCTTTTCACCTTGCACATTTTAAGCAATGTTCATGAAGTATTTGTAGCGCTCAGTTATATGCTTCCTGGGTTGTGTTTTGGTTGCTAAACTGCATGTCTTTGAGAAATAGTTTAGCAAATTGCGGATTGGGGGAAGACGGTAGTCATGGCCGCTGTAGTTGCCATGTCATCGTGGTAAAAATAAACTTGACTTCGTTCGTCACTTAACTCTTACAACGCAAGTAACTAAGGCAGAACTACCGTATATAACATTTCAAGGTTTCAGCAAAGCCACCCGGGTGTTTATTAATAAAACGCAAGGATGATTAAATATTGCGCTCATGTAACTTTTTGGACAATCATGTTTTGCCGTCGACATGAATGAAACGAAAGCGCAGACTAAACACGTCAAGACAAGTCTTATTTAATTGTTGTACAAAAATTGAATCTGGCAAATTTCCCTTGTGTAACAAAAGGAACAATTAAAGCGCATGGTTTGGACATACAAATGCTGAATCGCACCAAGTCACACGCTTACTAAAACATGCTCGAACAGCGAACTCTCCCTGAAGTAACTTTTATTGCTGCAGTTAAGCCTATTACACCTTTAATTAAATGCATTAAGAATCTTAAGTGCGTTTGCTTCTGGAAAAGTGGAAACACCGACATTTGCTTATAATTTAGTCTCGACCTAAGTGACTTCGCGGGTGCAGTAAAATTGTCAATTTGCAAATGTTGTCACCCTCGCCATTCAGTGTTTTGAAGGACAACATAAACAATAGAGATGTCATGATGTTTATAACAATCAAAGCCGCAAGTCTTCTTGCTCAAATATCAGACCTTTTTTCAGACAACACAACCTATATCTACAAGAGAGCCCTTCTATATATCAAAGCTTTGGGAATGGCCAATATTGACTTGTAACATAGAAGGCAGGTATTTAATCTCCCGTCTCAAATAACGCGTTAAATATTTAATTCGAAGGCTTGGTGTTTGAAAATAAACTCGCCTTAGACGTGACATGTATGAAATATTCATAAAGAAAATTAATTAATTTGAAATATTCAGTAATTTGTTTTTTTCGAGACAGGCATCTTCTTTTCCTTTGTCAGTTGATGTGTACTTCTGTGTGATTCTTTTTAATGATATTTGTTTGCGGCTGAAAGTCATAAATGTACACAATACTCATGGGTATTATTTTCTCTTTTTTGGGTACGTACGTTTTCCAACACTTTTTTCTATTCAGTTCACTTGTGACCATATCGCCATACTTACAAAGTATAAGTGTTGGGATTATGATTCAATAAAAGTTTTTGAAAGTGTTAAAAACTTGGAAACAGTTTTGCTAATGCCACAAGTTCTTATGTCATATTTGAGGATATGCCCAATGTTGTTTGAATGCAACTGAAGAACCCAAGACAAAAAAAATACATGTTGACACTTTACTTATACAGAGCATAATATTTTGAATACCAAAGAGGATTATANCAAAGCAATCACTGGAAAAATACAGTCTTTATTGCAGCTAAACCTCAGAGTTATAAAAGGACTATTTGTTTTCCCTTCCACCTGGACATTTAATTTAGTTGTTTTTTTTTTCCTATTGTAATTGTATTTTAAAATCCTGTATCTACTCCAGCAAGTGGTGAGAGAAACAAATCATAAAGTTGGAAAACTTGAACATAATCAGTCAAGAGTTTGTGGCATAATGCATTTGACCCTAGCTTCATCTTTTGGGTGTGAAGATAAAGACACTGAAATTTAACCAAATAAATGTGATGTACATTTTTTGTTTCAGTTTGTCCATAATCACCATCCAGTTATTATTCATCGAGACCTTAAGGTATTTTACAATCTGCAGTTGCTATTTGACTCTGTTATTCACAGTGTTAAGCACCGTACCATATTGCCGCTTGAGAAGTTTCTGATTAAGTTTTGACTCTTTTTTGATAACTTTTTGATGGCTTTCATTTGAACTGACCAATCAAAATATGGGAACTGTTGATGGCAGGGATGTTTAACTGTCAAATTCATCACTTGCTCTGGTGGGGGTTTTAAAGGTCTCCACCTGCAAATGTTTGAAACTGGCAACAAGTCATCACAGTTTGATCTGCCATTTGAAATGGCAACTATCCAAAGTTGTCAAAAAGATGTCAAAACATTTTCATAAAGTTAAATCAAAGTGTACCTACTCAATAAGGTGGCAACGTTAAGACGCGTAGTACTGTAACTGTTGTTAGTAATGTTATTAAATTGAAGTAATTATGCTGTTAAGCAACCTAATTGCCCAGTTCTCTATGAGGTGATGGCTTTTACAGCTAAGAATTAATATTAATTGGTGTTTTACGGCTAACTGTAAATTTGTTTTCCTTACACTTCACAGAAATTCTTCTTTAAACTTTTGAAAAGTTAAAAATTAAATTTCATTGTTTAAAAAAAGTTAAAAAGTTATTTTCATTACTGCAGCTTAAACTGTAAAACATATTTAGGATCATTCTGGGATGGGAAAAAGGTATTAAATTATAACAATTGTAGACTTACAGTACTAGCTTACAAGCAACAAGACAAGGCACAAAAAAGTCCTGACACTTTCATAGCTAACATAATTATTTTTACGGTAATGGTTAATTTTATTACTTTTAAATGGCTAATGGTTAAAATGTTCCATATCTTTATTTTATGCCTCGACTAAATTTTTGACATGTTTTTTGGCCTGTGAGCACCATTGAGACCTTCTGTTTTGTATTATTTTTGCCTTTTTGCTTGCTCACATGTATTTGTTTCTCTTGGGTTTTGGTTTTTAGCCTGAAAATCTGTTGTATGCCAGTGAAGAAGAAGATGCACAGTTAAAAATTGCAGATTTTGGGCTATCAAAGATGCTTTATGGTGAACAAGGAAACACAAGTACAGTATGTGGAACACCTGGATACTGTGGTAAAGCCAGAACAGCTTGCTGTCATTTTTCTTTGATTTTTTATATAGAGTTGCCATCTGTTTTTTGGATCAACTCAAGAGGTGTTGCATATCTGGAAGGGTGTTTATATGAGCAGCATACAAAAAGCCTTTCAGGAAATGTAACTTGATATGCATTAAAGGGATGGATACCTTACATCAAAAGGAAACTTAGTTAGACTTTAACTTTTAGACTCGATTTAATTATAAACTGTTCATGGGAAAATAAATCTACTTAAAAAGAACTCTGATTAACTTGAAGTGGGATATTCTCTGAGGGTATTAGTAAGTTAATTAATGTGGAAAACATGGATGAAGGTGGGATTATGTCTGAAAGCTGATTAATTTTCACTAGCGACAGAGTCAGAATGGAGTCCTAGTGGGAGTGGAAAGAGAGCTTACGACCTCGTAAGCAGTCATAAGCTCAACAGAATTGGAGTCAGAAGGATCAGAGTGTTTCCATTTCTTCTGATTCCATTTACCACTCAGTTGCTTGTGATCCAGTGAAAACTAGGTTGTAAGAGTCAGAAGAAGTGGAAGAACAAACCAATCACAAGGCCCAGAATCAAAAATTGTGATTGGTTTATTCTTCTTCTTCTGCTTCTGACTCAGACCATCTAGTTTTCACTAAATCATAAGTGACGGAGTCATGAGCGGAATGGGTGTTTTGCGTCTGACTCCATCGGTTTGATTTTCACTAGGCCGTATCGCTCTATACCTTTGATTACGACTCCGACTACAACTCTGTTGCTAGTGAAAACCAGCCTTTATAACTCTTCTTTTTGTTAGCGGACATTAATTGTTAAAACCAGGTGGGAGGGGAGAGTATAAAACCAGCATTTTACAGTGTAAACCTAGAATTTATTTAGGGTCAATGGAGCTTTTTAGATGGGAGTATATTCTATCATATTTGACTGCCCTTACTTCATCTCCACACAGTGAACTGTAAAAAGGCAAGTTGCAGAGAGTTTTTCTAAGGGGAGCTGCATGGCAACAGTTCACTGTGGGCCTTAGTTGCAGCTATTAAACAATTATTGGATGAGGTTTTTGTGATAACCCTTACTGAGACCATGATTATTCTTAAGTTATCACAAAAACCGAATCTAATAATAATATTGTTTTATTCTACATTGAACGAAAAAAAATGGAACTCATGTGTTTGCTTCTTCACTGACAGCATGCAACACAAACTGCATGAGCCTGACATGATTACCCTTAGAAATCATGCTCCACAGTCATATATGACATGATTGCCAGTGACCTTGAGTGTCCTTGACATGATTATTGTATAATCTGCAGCTAGATGACATCACAGGCACTGATTTCGAAAATTCACTGTATGCCTTGGCCAATCAGAAAAGAGATAGTGAGTTCAATGTATAATAAACAGATTAATTCGTCTGCTTACACCCCTGTGCTTAGCTCTTGGTGCCTTTGGGGCTTGGTGACCCCCCCTGCCCCTCCTTCACCATCCCCATCTGACATCTCTGTGCATGAACTTATCCTGGGGGGAGGGGGGGCAACTCCCATAAAAAAAGAACAGGGGTGCTTGCCATACCTTTCGGGGTTAAAAAAGTGGTTTTTATACTTCTTAAGGTGTCTAGCCTCATTATGTCTCTAGCGAGAACTTTTGTGGCTCCTTTTAGGGTATTGAGCTGAAAAGAATATATCAGGATGATGTGTTGTTTTATAATTATTGGCACCTCTTAGGAGTGAAAAAAATTTCAAGCCACGCCCACTAAACAGGATCTTGGTGCCTCTTAGGGGTTGCTTTCAAAATTTCTGATGAGCACCCCCGTGGTTTTTATATGGGAGGCCCCCGTCCCTGCAACTTAGACACTATTACAATGTAATATGGTGATCTAAATTATGATATTATCTGATTTTTCAATGATCCTCAGCTCCTGAAGTATTGTTGGGAAAACCCTACGACACAAAAATTGACATGTGGGCTGTTGGTGTTATTGCTTATATATTGTAAGTATAAACACAAATAAGGTTAGATTTTTGCATCATCAAAACCAAGGCCTAAATTTTTAAACAAAGAGGTGTTGGTTTCTAAAGAAACTGTTGGACTGCATCAGCGGGCGAGTAAAACACATAACCATTTATCAACTTGAAGTTCAAAAAGGTTTAATTGACGACATTGTACTGAGTTTGCGAAGGTGTCTCTTTAGCCTCAACCAATGGTNGGGGGGGGAACTCCCATAAAAAAAGGACAGGGGTGCTTGCCATACCTTTCGGGGTTAAAAAAGTGGTTTTTATACTTCTTAGGGTGTCCGGCCTCATTATGTCCCCAGCGAGAGCTTTTGTGGCTCCTTTTAGGGTATTGAGCTGAAAAGAATATATCAGGATGACGTGTTGTTTTACAATTATTGGTAACTCTTAGGAGTGAAAAACATTTCAAGCCACGCCCACAAAACAGGATCTTGGGGCCTTTTAGGGGTTGCTTTCAAAATTTCTGATGAGCACCCCCGTGGTTTTTATATGGGAGGCCCCCGTCCCTGCAACTTAGACACTATTACAAAGTAATGTGGTGATCTAAATTATGATATTATCTGATTTTTCAATGATCCTCAGCTCCTGAAGTATTGTTGGGCAAACCCTACGACACAAAAATTGACATGTGGGCTGTTGGTGTTATTGCTTATATATTGTAAGTATAAACACAAATAAGGTTAGATTTTTGCATCATCAAAACCAAGGCCTAAATTTTTAAACAAAGAGGTGTTGGTTTCTAAAGAAACTGTTGGACTGCATCAGCGGGCGAGTAAAACACATAACCATTTATCAACTTGAAGTTCAAAAAGGTTTAATTGACGACATTGTACTGAGTTTGCGAAGGTGTCTCTTTAGCCTCAACCAATGGTCAAAGGGGACAAAGTGCTTTAACTTGAAGTTAGCTTCACAAACTAATTCCCGGGCTTGAAAAAAAATATATTGAATTTCCAGCCTGCTTTTCAGACAAGCAGCTCCTAAATTTTGCTTGCCCTAAGCAAATCATAGTTTGCTTTTATTATAATTTAGTTCCAGTTAATCAATCTCTGTGTGTTTTAAAAAAAATTGTTGTTCACTGTTTGTACTTATCTTCCCAGCCGTAACAAACCATGTAATCCTTTTAATATCAACCTGAAGTTTATAAGGGTAAATTAACTACCATGGCAAAATTATGAAGCTGACATTTCCAGCATGATCCTGTAACCATAAGGTTTATTACTAACATGTATATTACCTAACTATAGAGGTCTCTGTAGAATTCGGTGAGGCTGTCAAACTTGTCAACCTGTGACATGCAACAAGTGTGATTTGCTTTGACTTACTATATTTATTAATTAACATACAGGCTGTGTGGTTTTGAACCGTTTTATGATGAACGGGGTGATCAGGCCATGTTTCAAAGGATCTTAAGGTGCGACTATGAATTTGTCAGTCCGTGGTGGGATGAAGTATCAGAAAATGCTAAGGTTGGTAGTGGTTAATACTGAGTTTATAAAATGTGTTTTAAGTAGATTGAGAGGCTTTGAAAGCACAGCTGCCTTAAAGAATGTT